CGCTGTTTGAGAGAGAACATATTCAAAGAAAGCAGGGAGTGTGGATAGATGAATATCTTAGTCTAATCAGAGGAGGTTCAGGGGCAAGGAACTTTCTTATCAGCACAAAATGACCAGGGCAATAACCAAGGTTCACTGAGGCTTCTAGAAACCCAGACAATTTAGCACCCACTGGCATTTCCCTTGAAGGTGGTGGCTACAGAGCTCTGTTTCCTTGGAGACATGACTTATTGACCTCTAAAATGACACAACTCATTTTCAGATATAAGATCGGAGTTTATTAATTGAAATACTGACCAATCCAATGAACTCATGGCCATGGAAGCTCAAATTTCATTCTGTTACCACTTAGGCACATTAATTCTTTCTTAGAAGCAAATAACATAAAATGTGTCACTCATCAATTCTGAGTCATGGGTAGTCAGGTATTTGTTCTAACAAATTACTTTCTACATTTTTAAAATTTCTAAAAATGTTTATATAGGAGATAGGGGGAAATTGGGCTAAATCTGTGAACTTATATCAAACCTAATCATTTTAGATTTTATTTTAGTTTTATTTTAAGAAAGATGTCATTGTTGGATAAAGGATACTTAAGTAAAAATAACTATAATAATATAACTTCTGTTAACTATGGTGAGCATAATTTTATAAAAAATATTATTTTAATAAGTTTGAAAAGCAGGGGAAAGAGATTTATTTGTGTTTTAGGAACCAGACTTTAGTAAGAATTGTGGTGGCACAAAGAGCATTTGAAGATCATTATGTTTCAGATGATTAATTCTAGGCTGTTGAAACCTTTGAAACACCAATTCACTCTTATCCTCTGGTCGAATATTTCCACAGTAATCAGTTGGGTTGCCCATTTAAAAGTTATTTTATTAAATGAGATGTGAGGCCTAAATTGAAGTTGGCAGAAATACCAGAAAAGTATCAGAGAACAGATCTGATTATTTCCATGATAAGAATGCCTCCTTATGAAGTAAAGGGAGATTGGAGAGTTAAGAGTCTTAATTATCACGACATAGTCTATTCCATTTATTACTTCAATTACTAGGAGAGTGAGAGATGTCAGCTGATGTAGAATTATCCTTGGTCCTTACAGGAGAACCAGATATTAAATTTGCCATCAAGAAACAAAAGGTTCTTTAGAGTTTTCCCCTCTGGAAGCCTCAATTCTGGTGTGCGTTGTCATTTCCCTGGTAGAAAAGGATGGTAGAGTGGGGGGGTCTTGATCCCAGCTCCTCCCCCAAGGAGAACCAGGGGCTCCTACACAGACGCTTCTTCCAAGTGCTGGGCAGCCAGCCCATCCCCAGCTGGGGGAGCCCAGGCTGCAGGTTAGGTTAAATTCCCAATAGACATGACCTTATTGTGATGCTTGTGTAAAAGTCACAGGCAGATTCTGAGAACTCTTCTTGACAAATGGTATAGGCATGCTCAGGATCCTTCATGGACTTACTCAGGACTAGTTCATATTTAGGCTCCTTTTCTCTGACCTGGTGGAATAAGCTACTTCGTGGAACCAGGTGAATGGCCAGGGGACCTGTGTGTGGTTTCCAATCACCCTTTGAATGAATTTTACTCCTCTGCCCACTCAGATGGTTACCTCTGAGAGAACCAGGTAGGAATAAAGGAACCAGATACATCATGAAGGAAGGTCTCTTTTAAGAGACTGGCTCATGAGAGGGGTTTGGGCCTGTCTACAGATATTGGGTACCCTCACTTCTCAAGTCTTCTGTTTGCTTCTTGTAGTTTGCTCTAGTTAGAATTTCCTACCTGAAATTGGGACCACATTCAGCCTTTGAGATCTTGCTCTTGAAGTGAGACAATATTTATAGCTTTCTGTCTTATTAAAAAAATTGCTACATATTTATAATGTAGTTTGTCATTCCATAGCTCACACTTTAAATAACATCAGCATTCTCAAACTATTTTGCGTACGTAAAATTGGGGGAGCTGAATGGTTAAATGTATTAATGTAACTTGATAGTTAAGTTAGAGCCACATGGACCATTTTGTAAAGCTAATAATTACTTTTTATTTATCTGCTTTGTGATATTGGTGTTTTAAATATGTGGTCTACTCAAAACAAGAAAACAATCGGTGCTTTTTTTAATTTTAAAAGCTATGTGGCATCTCATTTATCATTGCTCTTGATACACTATAACTCAACCAAATCATATATATATTTTGGAAAAAAAACACACATTTACATTTCAAATCAAGCAAAATCAAAACCTAAGAAACTAGAAAAAGAAATGTAAATTTTATCAACAGGAAATTGTGTTTTTTCCTCATGGGGAAACTCAATTAACATCATGTGAAGTTACAAAATATGATTTACACTTTAACTGATAAATCCTGGTTCCAGGGGAGTATAACACAGCAATTAGCAAAAATGAAACAAGATAACAGAGATAATAAAAACCCTATATAGTACATGTAATGTTCTTTCTGCCATTACTGCAGAATGGGAAATGACTCTAGTTACCTCCCATTCTTTAGAACACATCTACACATTATAACAAGCAACTTCTAAAAGCCAGATAATCCAAAAGTTTTTATCCCAAAATTATATTTTTAGGGCTTGTCTTTCCTTTAAAGGAAAATTTGATACTTATTGGGAGCTACTAACTGACTATTTCTGAAGAAGCTAAGCTTTCCGGTTATGTTTCAACATGAACAAAATCCAAGCAGAATTCTGAAATAACTCTTTTTGAGAGCTTACCCGACTCATGAGAAATTGTCTTCACAGTGAGGAGCTTCACACTCTCTTTATCGGACTGAGGTCTATTTGGGACAGAAAACATTAAATTAACACCATAGTAATTAGCATGGCCTGTCTGGGATAGAAAGTACACATTATACACACATAATGAAGAAGATACACAAGCATATATATATTTTATGTGTTTTTATGGCGAAACCCATGTCTCTTCACATGCAGACACACACATAGCACTTTCCACTTCTGGAATCGAGCCAATAAATCCCCATCATTCTGCTACAGCAATGGTCCTCAGAGAAATTAAACATCAAGATGGGTCATGGGAAACACCTGTCACAGGTCTTTATGGTACATGGCTTCAGTCCTGAATTACAAAGGGAAAGACACAGACCTGTTTCCAAACTTTGGGAGCTGCTGATGAATTCTAAGAGTATCCCTTTTTACGAGGACACTGGACACTGCCGGCCATTTTAGCCAAGGGTTCCCGCCTCCTCTTTCTCAGATTCCAAACACTTTCAAACCCTTTTTTCCCCCTGGACTTCTCAAGAACCTTTATTTCTAATTAAGCAGGGTAGGTGACCTACAGATAGTATTTCTAAGTTTCATTGCCTGATGAACATACAAAAACACCTACATAAAGGCAGCATACAAATTCAGGTCAACAAAGAAAACTTAAGCACAGAATTGGTTTTAAGATTTATTTAAAAAAATAGTCTCTTTATAGCACCTTGATGGCAACAGTCAGGTGGATTGGTAACAACTGCTTTGCTTGTTTTTAAAAAGTCAAAGCAGAACACACGTCTACTGTTAATAAAGCTACTCAGAGCTGTCTTAAGGTGCAGGCATGATAGTTCCCTAATTGTGAGAAACATACTGAAAATTCCACTGGGAAAAGTATTTTAAAACTTTAGGTATTTTTTATATTATATTTATTATTGTAGTGATATTCATTTTTCTATTTTTGCATTTCACTTTTTGATTTGCCATTTTACTACTTTTGAATAGCTTAAGAACAGTCCTCTTTTAGTTGCTGGAATTTCCGTTGAAAAGAGAGAGCTCTGAAAAAAATAGTTAAACTCCATTTATAATACTTTCTACACAAATTCTTTAAAAATACAAACAAAGATGTGTAAGTAAAGGATCAATAATTTTCCTATGTAAATGATACAGTCAGAGCTTCTAGAAAAAATGATGTAACTTTACTTACTGGTCATTCCCATTTTCTGCTGTGCCTAGGAGAGGAGAGAATTATTAGAGTTATAAGAAGCTTGGCTATAAAACACTTGAGACCCCTGCCACTTTCAGTGCAGAGATATTTCTAAAGCCAATTTTTGACTTTTTTAATCTCTCCACTCCCTGCTTCGTTGTTCATTTTCTCAGACATGGTTAGCACTCCTTCCTCAGGTATGGCTAATACATTCACGGGATAGCTCCAAGTAGGCCAACTCCACTGAACTTACTTCTGCACTAAGTTTCTTATCAGTATGTGAAACTACTATTTGTTATCACATAGTCCACAAACACCAGAAAAGGTCTCTGTTTATTTCAGTACCTCTGAAAAAAATTCTCCTCAAAGTTCAATATTGCCTTTTTATACCAGAGAATTGAATTTCTGACATTTCTTTATTCATGGCTCTTTCTAGGGACACAAATCTCTGATTTGTGGTGAACTATGATATTGCTTCTAATTGCATCTGCATCACATTAACTCAGTCTCTCTAAAGTGCCCTGCAAAATATCACTGAGGCTACTAATGGCATCTAATCTTCTGTATGCTTTTCCAAGCTGCTTACAGGACCTGGTAGAAAACAACCTGGGCCTATAGAGTGAGAACGCTGGTGATTCACATGGCCCTGGGAAGCAATGGTGGTAAAACCTTGCACTCACTGTGGCCTATCCTATATAATAAAAGCCTAATATGCTAAGTGTCTGGTCGGCCATTCAACCAATCAAAGCGTAATATGCTAATGATATGCTAAAGTCGCTCAACCACTCACTACGAAGTGCACTGACCACCAGGGGACAGACTCATTGATCAGTAGGTTAGCTTGCTGCTAGGGTCCGGCTTATTGGGACTGAGTGATCGGGACTGAGTGAGACAAGCCGGACATGCCCCAGAGCCCTCCCGCAACCCTCCCTGCCCCGACCGTGCACCAGTGGGGTCCCTTGGCCTGGCCTGCACCCTTTCACAATCCAGGACCCCTCGGGGGATGTCAGAGAGCCAGTTTTAGCCAGATCCTGATCCCACAGGCCAGGCCGAGGGACCCCATTGGTGCACAAATTCGTGCTCTGGACCTCTAGTTGTGTTATGAAGACCTTGATTTCCACTAATATTCTGGCTAGTTCAGCTTTACCTGGTAAAAGTCATACACCACCATGACTCTTAATTCCTACAATTTAATTTATGGTACCCTATGCTGTTCATCAAGTTGGCCTGACCTTGTCTTCCCTACCATCAGTAGGGTTTTAACAGCACTTTAAAATTCCTACTGTAAGTGCTCTATATGATTTCACCTGTGATGCTCACAGCCCTGATCCTACATGCAGTGATACTGTTTCTATGCCTATTTTAATATTTTTCCTTGGGATACAGTAATAATGGGTTTATTACCAGATAGACACATACCAACAGACTACTTTTGGAATATATGCTGTTCTATTTGGGTTAAAGCTCAGACTACTGTCAACATTATCCAGTAAACTCAATTTCATATTGAAATCTGATTCATGTTGTCTTCCAGTGAGCAGAGTGGGCTTACTAATTTTCTGAACTTAATGAAGTCTCACCCACATTTTGAAGACTGATTACTGTGGGTGTTTAATGGTGCTAATTTAATGACAGCAATGCTATAAATTCTGTTTGGCAAGCAAAGTTAATGAAAACCAAATAGATTTGGCTAATTGCACAACTGCCAAACTTGGTTATAAAGTATTGTATGTCTTCAGAATAATTCTCCATAATTATACTAATTTTATTTTATTTTACTTTTCATAGTGGTTGGAATTTTACATTTCCCCCCTCAATGATTCAATTCATCCATAGAGTCCGCTTTAATAGCAAATGTCAACTTTTCAGATAACTTATTTGCAAATCTTCCTATGTAGAGCAGTTTTTCAGTAGAGGGTGTTTTCACAGATGGATTTAGCACACTAATTTCTTTTTTTAAATCTCTTCTATGTGCTCAACACCCACAAGCTTCAACTTAGATGGTTGATTTACCATAAAAAATAGTATTGGTGGTTTAGAAACTTAGAGAAATTAAACTGATTTATAAAAATGCTATTTTCCTTCAGGAAACTGAGGAAGAAAACATATTTTAGACATTATTAAGAGGCTTTATTCAGTAACTCCCAAAGGGGAAGTCATTGATGTGTTTATTCTCATTCTCCACCAAGGTCTAATGAACACTACTGTTGTTTTTTTTTTTTTTATTTGTTTGTTTGTTTTTTTGTCTCATAAGTTCCATGGACTGAATGTGTGTGCTCCCCTATTCATTTGTTAAATCTTAATGCCTAATATAATGTCATCAGGATGTTGGGCCTTTGGAAGTTGATTAGGTCAGAGGGTTGAGTCCTCAGTGGGATTAGTGCCCTTATAAAAAGACCACAGAGTACTTCTTTGCTTTCCACTATGTGAAGACATAGTGAGAAGGTGGCCATATATTAGCCAGGAAGAGTACCCTCACCAGAAAACCAATCTGACACCTTGATTAGACCTAGTCTCCAGAACTGTGAGAAATAAATGTTTATTTTTTAAGCCACACAGTCTCCAGAACTGTGAGAAATAAATGTTTATTGTTTAAGCCACACAGTCTTGGTATTTTTGTTATAGTACCTGGAACAGAGTAAGGGGACACAGGTACATGGAGAAGTAACTATACTATACCATGATGAATTTCATAAAATTCTATAGAATTCTGCTTAAAGAGATGGTGTGTTATGCAAAGAAAGATGCATTAAATTGGTGTTTGTGGTAGGTGCTAATGGACAGATGGGACGTTGGAACTTTATGAAAGTTACATGATGGGCTGGACATTCTAGGAGAAGGAATAGCATGGACAAAGGCATGAATACATAACACCAGATTACACAAGCAGGGCAGGGGCCTGTGATGGGAAATAGATTTATGTTTAAGATAATAGAGAGGAGTGTAAGCCATGGGAATTGAAAGGGGATTCAGATGAAACATTGAATAAAAAGCTCAATTTCCTGGAATAGAGAAAAGACAATAAGATTAGAAGAAGTCTGAAAAAGTAGGGACCTTAGTTAATAATAATGTATCAACTAATATTAGTTAATTCATTGTGACAAATTTGTCATCTTTTTATTTTTATATATTTTTATTGATTTCAAAGAGGAAGGAAGAGGAAGAGAAAGATAGAAACATCCTATATAATAAAAGGCTAATATGCAAATTGTCCCCTTGGGTGGGAGTTGGACCGACCAGGAGCCCAACCGGTCTCTGTGAAGTGCACTGACCATCAGAGGGTGGCACGGAACTAAGGGAGGACCCAGCTGTCAACTGTCAGCCAGCCGCCGCTAAGGACCCTACCAGTGCACAGATTTCGTGCACTGGGCCTCTAGTCAATGATGAGAGAGACTCATTGATCAGCTGCTTCCTACTTGCCCTCTACTTGGGATCAAGCCTGCAAACCGGGCATATGCCCAGACCTGGAATAGAACTGTGACAGTGACCTCCTGGTTCATAATTTGACACTCCAACACTGAGCCACACTGGCTGGGCTATATCATCTTAATAATAAGAATAACAGCTATGTGGTATGTGGGAACTCTTTGTAACAATCTTTGCAATGTTTCTGTGAATACAAATCTATTTTAAAATTAAACATTTATTTAAAAAAAGAATAAAAAATAGAATGCCATTATAGGATTCATAAGTATTTCAGAGGCAGGGAGAAGATGAAACATCAAAAAGAAGTAAACAAAGAATGTTTAAAAGAGAGCAGTGACTTTTTTGAAGAAAAGGAAAAGACTTCCAAATGCTACTGGAGAGGTTAAAAAGGGTAATAATTTCAAACTAGAATTCCACTAAAAATTGCAATAATGTTCAGTTCCGAGGAACCAATATAATTAGCAGAACACGCAGTCATGAAGGAAGACATTTTCATTGGAAGGAAGCTGTGCTTCCCAGAAGGGAAGTGAGTCACAGGACACTCTTCAGATTATGGGCCCCTAAACTACATTCTCAGCAAGACTTCGCTTCATCCTCTGTTACCCGGAAAGGAACAAACCTTCACAATAGGGGAGGCATACCCTTTCATGCCTTCTGTACTCCCACATTCCCTCAACTGCCCACAAAATGGGCTGTTAAATTGAAAGGTATTTGTTCACATTTGATATCTGCCACTAGTAGTTAATCCCTTTTCCTTACATTCACCAGCATTCCACAGATTTCTCGGTTCATTCCCCTCTATATTTGAGATCAAGCAATATGGCATTTTATTTCTTTCTACAATTCCCACCTCCCCTTATGAGTATAAACTTAAGTTTAGATCTAGCATGAGCATTCTCCTTTCAGGAAACAAAATGAAGCAAAACCCTGTTACCCACCTGGGTCTGTCTTCCTGAACAGTCGATACAAACCCACCAGAGCAAACACTGAAAGTGTTATTACAATTAGAGCAATAACCACCGGCAGAATAATACCTAAGAAGCAGTGGAGACATTGTCAGTTAGAGTGGCAATTGAGTTTCACAATAGTTTATGAACTGAGCAAAAGAATGCATGCTTTCTTCTTTAAATGTCATTCTATTTAAAATATTGTATTTTAAGCAAAGAAGATCGATCTGATTCATGGGTTTTGCTTTAGTTGTCGTTTCTGACGTATCCACTTGATGTCAGTCTTGTAGCCTTTCTGAAATAAAATTTCAAACCTAAGAGAGATAGTTCTCCATTCTTCTGGAGACTGGGGGAGTGAGGAAATGGGAGACAAAAGGCAGAAGATGTCCTCTAGACCTAGAGTCAGACCCACATTCACTCATATATTCTTTACTACTTTATAGCCAAATTATTGGGAAAAAGGACTTAGCTAGCCAATACTGAAACTACCCTAGTTATAAAGCTGGCTTTCTAAAAACCTCACAAATATCTTTCAATGGTAATATCTTAGAACCAGAAAAAGTATAAAATAGCATAAGTGGATATAATTGGATATCACAGGGCACATTATTTATAAACATGAACAAATGGCTCAAGAACAATGTGCATGTGTATATACATGTCTCAGCGATTATGTTTTTTCTTATTTTTATTAAGAGGAGGGTTTTACTGTTTATTTATTAATTAATTTATTTTAGCATGTGCCTCTTTTCTGCCAGTCAGTTTCCAGATTGAAACAACAATGATAAGATGAAAACACTGTCCTAGGGGTAAAGCTAGAGTTATAGAAATTATAGTTACCATATAGTAGGTATTCTCATCTGCTTGCTTACTGGTATGTGTTCCTCATGTTTATCAGGGAATGAGAATAGTTAACCAATTCATTTGTAAAGTGGTTTTCACTTCCATTGTTATGATTAAATATTTGTTTTAACTAAGTTCTGGGTTCATATTAGACCTTCAGTGAGATCATTAGTGCTTCCCAAATGAAGAAACCATAAATCATCAGGTCAATGAGTGCAATTCTGACCTATTGAATGGAATGGCTTTATCTAAACCTATCATCCCAGCTTCATATGTATTCATATTAGTCTTAATTTCCAGGGAAATTAAGCCCATTTAGTCCTAGCATACACATATACAAGGTGGAGCAAAAGTAGGTTTACAGTTGTTCATATGGAAAATAACACAATAAGAATACATAACAATAAGAATGAACTCTGTGTTTCACTCAAAACTGTAAACCTATTTTTGCCCCACCTGTATGTTATATGACATACTAGTATATCTATTTTTGCTAAAATGGAATATTTCTTAAAAGGCCATTTTAACAAGAAGGCAAAGTTTTGTAAAGGTAAACAATCTATTTTTATGGGGATCTCTCTGTAGCTGTCTGTATACTTTGGCTTATCTGAGGCTAGTCCCATGAGTTTACCTTGACGTTTGGTGGTAATTGCTTAGCACTAAGGTAAGAAAATAATCTCCAAAGTGTGCTCACTAAGACTCATATGTAGGAAATTCTCAAAGCAGGTGGCAGTCGGACAGGATTTTAATGGGATTGCAGTTCAGTAGAGCTGATAAAAGCCTATCCTAATTGAATTCCTTCCCTTATTGCTAACATTAAAATACTCTGCGTATCTATGTCTATGGATGAAGATATGCCCGTTACTCACTGGAATGAGAGGAGCTGGTTGAAGAAGGGCTTGCATTTTTTTCGTTCTCAGTGCCTATAATTTTAAGAAAGAAAAAATGAGTAACCTTTGGTTAATGTGCCAATCCTCACAATCCTCCCTTTATCCTCAATTTAAGTAAGCTTCTTGGTCTATAGGTACGATACTTCAAATGAATACATTTGATCTCATTCTGAAAGAATTCTGCTTTGCAAATCAAGATTTGTCCGGGTGTTGCCGAAACCGGTTTGGCTCAGTGGATAGAGCGTTGGCCTGCGGACTGAAAGGTCCCAGGTTTGATTCCGGTCAAGGGCATGTACCTGGGTTGCGGGCACATCCCCAGTAGGAGATGTGCAAGAGGCAGCTGATCGATGTTTCTCTCTCATCGATGTTTCTAACTCTCTATCTCTCTCCCTTCCTCTCTGTAAAAAATCAATAAAATATATATTTAAAAAAAAAAGATTGTCCGGGTGTTTATGTATACAATTTTATGAGTTTGGACATACATCCATGAAACCATCACCACAATCAAAGCAATAGACATATCCATCACCTGCAACAGTTTCCTCATGTCTCCCCTTTTATAGATGTGTGTTTTTGTATAGCAATTATGATTTAATAAAGCTGTCATTATATTTTTAAAGGTTGGTAGGGCTTTCCTGGTGATAAGGAGTTGAGAAAAGTGAGTTTCTAGTCATGCACACAGAAATCATACCTTGAGATTGTGAGATGTTTTCTGCAATTGCTGTTGACTTTGGGAGTAATATACTGGTTTGAGAAGGTGAGGCATCTGGTTGTGAAGTGCTAACTGTAGGAAAAAATCAGACACCCAGAGTCAAACTTTAGTGTTAACTCTTCTTATTGAATTTCTTTGCAGATTCAAAGAGTTTGCATTTCTGAAAATCTATGAAAACAGTTTCTTGTTGAATAATAGGATACATACAATTGTACATTAAATCCTAAATTCATCTTTTCCTCCTGTAATCACAATTACATTCTGAATCTCAAAACCTGGGTATCAGTATTGCATCTTCAAGAACAGCCAAGAAAACTTGAGTACATCTCTTATCTTAGGCTACAGTCTGTATCATCTACAGCATGAGATTCTCCTGGGATGAAAATCTATACAAAAGCATTATTCACACTTCAGATATTATAACTTTGGGTGATAGTGATTTTTTGCATCACACATACTTATAATGAACATAAATACACAGGACTTCATTTCTATAGTGTTACTTACTGGTTAAAAAGAAAGACTGCAGTTGAGGCTATGGTTAAAAGTTGGGGGAAAATAAAATAAATCCTTTGTTTTCATCTTAAAAGCTCAGCAGTGGTTTACATTTATGTGGCTTATCGAGAGTAACTGCTGCTTGGTTACATTTTTACCACTGCCCATAATCTTTTCTTTCCAAGAACTGTAAATTAAATTTATTATAATTATATTTGTTTGCTTAAGTCAACATTTGCCATCTTCAGTTAGAAGGACTGAAACAAAAAATAAATAAAAATATACAATTCAAAACCAACAAATCTCAATAAATTTCAAAGAAATACAAGTAATCAAATATTTTATAAGTGTAGAGAACTTATTCTTATAAATTTTGGATAAGATTAAATTTAGAAAATTTTTGAAAAATAATCCACTTTTTCTTGTTCTATAAAGTGATATCTTTTCATCACACCTGTTTGCCTGTCTTTCTACTGAACTGCAAGTTTCTGGAGTGAGAAGACCACAACTCCCACCACACCCCACATGGAGCTCTGACTACAGTGAGTGTGCAGTAAAATGTAGCTGGCAGCTTGGCTGAATTAAGAGACATCTCTTAAAATCATGGCCCCTCAAGAGTATTGAGGCCATGTATAGTTGCCCCAAAGAAACTGATATTGCGTTTGACTGCCTTGGATCTTTTCTTCTGTGCCACCCACAGCCCAGCATGCACTGCATGCTCATGCATTTTTGACATCTGTGGGGGAAGAATAATTTTTAGAGTTTATACCATGTAAGAGATCTGTGGGAGAAAGCTAGATATATGCCCATAAGAACAAAGAAAAATGTCAGACTAGTGCACTCGGCAGGCAGAAAAAAAGAATATTAAATAAAAGAAGGGGAACTAGCTGAATCCTTCAGAATTTCAGCTTATTTTTTCAGTGTCCAGGGTTTTAGTGGAAATGAATGCTTTTCTATTGTGTTGGTAGAGTATGAGATGGCTGATAAAATAACAAATGGCATTAATCCATCTGGGATTTCCCAAGGGTTAATTTTCAAGACTCCTACTTTATTACCTTCTCATAGACAGGTTAAGTGGCAGCTACAGTTCTAACTATAATCTATCTAGTTCCAAGGAAGCTCCCATTTTCCTATTTAAATTGTGTTGATGACCTAGTGCCAATTGTTATTGATAATGATCTATAGGTAGGCAATAGAATTAACTTTTCTCAAAAGGAGAATTCATTGGGTCCTTGAACAAAGACCTAACATTTTTTCTTTTTGTTTTCCCTTTAACCTCAACCTTTAGTTAATAAATAATTTCTGAATCCAGCACACACACATACACACACACACACACAGCCCTACAATTTACCTCTATTACATGTAATGCCTTCTATTTCTTTCTATTCACTTTTATTTCATTTTTAAAAATGCTGCTCATGATACACTAATGGGAGTTAACTCACAATTTGAGAAATCCTTTCCATTAGCATGATCATATTAATGCAGTTATGTGTTTTGGCTGAATTCATCAATTGTGAGTCTAATGTAATTCATTCATGACTAAGATAGCAGGAACCACAATGTGTTCAGAGCTAATAATCTCTGTGAATTTTGCTAATACTTTATGATCCTACATTACTAGTATTGGCAGAGAAAGTACAAGAGAGGTATAATAGATGGTTAAGATCAGGATTTTCAAGACTGAGTACCTGTTTTCAAATTTTAATGTTGCACTTATTTGCTGTGGAGTCTTGGGCAAGTCACTTAACTTCTTTGTGTCTGAGCTTTCACATCTACAAATGGTGATTATAATAATTCTACATCACAGTGTTGTACAAATTAAATGAGTAAAAATAATTTAAATTGCTTAGAAGAGTACTTGATACTTTTTATATTATATACTAGAGGCCAAGACCACAAAATCTGTGCATGGGAAGGAGAGGGTGTCCCTCAGCCTGGCCTGCACCTTCTCGCAATCCGGGAACCCTAGGGGGATGTCTGACCTAAACCAGCAGTAGGACATCTCTCACACATACCAGGAGAGGGTGTCCCCTCCTAACTGCTCACCTGCATGCCTGCCTGATCACCCCTAAGTGCTCGCCTGCCTGCCTGATTACCCCTAGTCACTCTGCCTGCCTGTCTGATTGCCCCTAACCACTCACCTGCCTGCCTTATCACCCCTAACTACCTGATCACCCCTAACCACCTCTGCCTCAGTCCATGCCTGCTGTGGTGGCAGCCTGTGCCTTGGCCTCCACCTGCCACAGCTTTGTCCAGAAGGTCATCTGGAAGGATGTCTAGAATGACATCTGGAATGTCCTGCAGCTGTCTGGTTTAATTAGCATATTATGCTTTTATCATTATAGATAATACTAGAGGCCCTGTGCACGAAATTCTTGCATGGGGGGGGGATCCCTCAGTCTGGCTAACACCCTTTTATTAGTATAGATCAGCAGTTCTAAACCTGTGGGTCACCACCACTTGGGGGTCGAACGACCCTTTCACAGGGGTCGCCTAAGACCATTGGGAAACACATATATAATTACATATTGTTTTTGTGATTAATCACTATGCTTTAATTATCTTCAATTTGTAACAATGAAATTGGGGGTCACCACAACATGAGGAGCTCCCTTTTATTAGTATAGATCAGCAGTTCTAAACCTGTGGGTCACCACCACTTGGGGGTCGAACGACCCTTTCACAGGGGTCGCCTAAGACCATTGGGAAACACATATATAATTACATATTGTTTTTGTGATTAATCACTATGCTTTAATTATCTTCAATTTGTAACAATGAAATTGGGGGTCACCACAACATGAGGAGCTATATTAAAGGGTTGCAGCATTAGGAAGGTTGAGAACCACTGGTATAGATGATTATAAATTACATAAATGACTTAAATTATATTTTATTAGTTTATTCTCTTATAATATCCTATTATATTATGATTAGGCCATTGGAGAGTTGTATCTTTCAACTGAAGCCAATTTACCTAATTTTCTCCAAAATTTTAAGTGTAAAAATACACCAAACCTCTATGTTTTCAGATGCTTCTTTGCTCTAGTCAGGAATGGGGAAAATTGGAATGGATGGCACTCTTAGATTATATGGGTTTGCTCTTGAATCCTGAATTTTGGTGATTGTATTGCTTATTGAATTGCAGATATGTTGTGCCATGATTTAAATCCAATTTGCAAGCTTTGGGCCAGAACTTGGAGCTGGCTGTTTGAGGCAGGGACCCTCAGAACAAAGTCTATTATAATAAAGAGACCCTCAGAACTAAAACTGTTATAATAATATGTATGCAGATTTATGCCATTGATGTCTGACAGTGGTACATATTTAGCTTGTGCTGTAAACTAATTACTAGATAAATGATTGGGAGCTTTAAAGACAGAAGACCTTGTTGATGTCCCAGCACCTGAGGTGACTATGAAAATGCACCTCACAGAATGCCAACTAGAGACAGTGTAATTGACCAAGGTTCCCCACCTCTTCTCTAAATTCCATCCCTATGTTTGGGCTGAAGCCATGCCTTCCCCAGACCGCTCCCACCCAGTGATTGCGCCTGGCAAGAGCATGAAAGCAGGCTTTTCCTGGAAGGAGGGACTTGGACCGAAAGAGTCTCTGATGATCTTCTGGAACCTTCCTTAGAGGCAGTCAAATAATACAAAGTAATTAATAAGTGTGAGAGACAGTAGAGAAAAAAACATGCTAGTGTAAAAAAAAAAAAGTAAAACTGTATTCTAGTCTTATTTCTCTTATGTTTTCTACATTTTTTTGGGACATGTGTACATTCAATGTGTCTGAAGGGTAAATTCAATTGAATTAATCACTTTTAATTATTTAAAAATAATTGGAACAGGTCTCTAATTACAATTTAATGGATTCCTGTTCCATTTTAAAAAGAACTTTTCAGTATTTGGAGCTAAATCTTTCACTTCTCCTTAACCCATTTTCTTCATGTGGATTCCAGTAAAGCACAATCTATTTCTTTTTCTCCTACCTTATGGCCTATTCTTCTTAGTCTCTTTAGCTGATTCCTTCTCTTCTTTTTGACCCACAGATTTGGAGGGCCCAGCACTTAGTCCTTGTTCCTCATCTATAGCTACACTAATTTCTTTGGTGATTAAATTCAATATTAAGGTTTAAATACAATGATCAATGCCAATGACCCCAAATTTATATTTGTAGCCTAGATTTTTTTCTTAAATTCTAGCTTCATAAATCCAGTTGATTTTTCAGAAAATAATAAAAATCTAAAGCCAAATATGTCCAAACTTGGGACTTCTACTTTATCTACAGCCTTCCCATCTTAGTTGATGGCAATCATTCCTTTCAATTGCTCAGGCCAAAGACTTTAGAACTATTTTGACTCATATCTTTCCATCCTATCCCACACACAATCATCAAAGCTATCTATTGCATGAGCTTTCAAAATACATCCAGGATTTGGAGACTTCATGCCATCCACCCTGAGAGCACCTCAGACTAAGCTACTATCTGGCTCCTGGAAAATGTATCCTTGCTTCACTGGACAGTGTCTGCTCAGATCTCACGTTACACTTATAAAGCATGAGTCAGAT